CCTCGGGATCTTTTGTGAAAACATAATGCCCTCTAGGGCGTTTTGTTTGGCCAGGGATGGCCGAAGGCAGCAAACATGCTCGGGGTTGTCATTCCATTATCCCCTTTTTTGCCGTAAAAAATACATGCTTTGGTTTTATGGAGAAATCCAGCCATTTATTTTATAACACAGACACACAGTGCGCAGAATATTTCGCGGTCCTCATCTGCTTATGTTCAAAAACGTTTTTGCAAATTTGGCTAAGTGAGGCTTAATCAGGTCCTTGTTTGGCATGCGGAAGCCGTCTAGGCATCATTTAAGAAATAATAGCAAAATGATTCTTATCGAAGAACCGGTCTAAATGGCATTAAGATGTACTTTGACATACCTCCGTATGGTAAGGGAGGAACAGAAGCATTATTAAACGCCTCACTGCAAACACACATAGACAACACCTCCACTCAAGACCTCAATTTAAATTTCATTAACTGTCAAATTAGTGAACTTGGTGTTGTTCAAACGGATGTGCGTTAGTTCCCAAAAACCACGCTAGTAAAATAAGTTTTTTAATGTCAAACATTTGTATAATGGCAGCTGTTATCTTACAACAAATGTTTTACCGAACATCCTATCGATTGACGTCAGAATTTGTAAATTTACTTAAGGACCTTGGGCGCTTGTTTCTCATGTGTTATGCCATTTAACTTGATTAGGGATTCAAAGAAAGAACACAATGCCTGATCGGTATCATACGCTTTAGTCTAAGATGGTTACTTGCAAATTGGTGGCTCATATCGTCCTATCAGACCAAATCACAAAATGAATTCATTTTTCGTATGCAATAGAACGCAAAAGAACTTTGTTATGGGCCTAGATCAATAAGAGTCTAAATGCCGATAGCCTAAATGGTATACCTACATGAACAGAGCTTCTATTTATAGCCAGTAATCTACCAGATATCTGTTTCTGAGATAAAATGCAAAGGTAAGAAATGGAACTAGAAAGCAATTGTCATACATATAAGCTTACGCTTAATTTCAGGAAGTTTGGGGTG